AATGTGGGTTGGATTCATCTGACTCTGAGCTCTGTGAACTTGTTAATGGACCTTCTGGTTTCATAATAGATGAGGACTTTCTTGACAAGCTGAATAGCTGTTAGCGTCTTATGAAGGACCTTCTTCCATAGTGTTGGTTAAGTATACCAAATTTCAGAAATTTAGGGAAGTTCTTGTCCATTTATGTAAAATTGTTATCAAGTCTGGTTCGTTATCAGCATTGTTTGAGAGTAGAAAATGATACGTATTACAAAATGGGTTTTGTGAAATTCTGATTCAACATTTTTAATATTGAAGTTTGTCAAAGTTTCGTTCGTTAGTCACATTTCTGTGCCTTTTTGGTTTCCTTCCTTTTAAGACTTACTAAGTTTGAAACCTCTTGTCAGATAGAGGCTTTATTGTGATTTGCTTAATATTTTCACACCTACAGACATTTGCAGACTCTGTGCTGGGTGTAATGTCGTGGATCATGCCTGTTATGGTGGCTGCGTCTATATTTGGAGGTCTGAGTGTCCACATCATGACTTCTTCCAGGTAATCAGTCAACTGCCTATAAGGCCTTATGACCACACACTGACAGTCCATTATGTTGCATGTTTGTGGCAAAAATCTTAAGGTAAATTGTTGGTGTAAAAGTTGGATTTTACAGTGAAATGTCATTATCAAATATATCTCGGACAAGGGACGTGTCCATCGTGATGTTGGTTAGCTGTTTCATTGCGGACGTGTTGGTACTAAAACATCCAGATAGACAGTGGCTTAAATGATGCTTATATACACTATGTGAAGAAAGAAAAACTGTTCATGACCTGACTCTGTGGCTGTATTGAAGATATATTGGTCACCAGTGAAGAGTTATGAAAGGCTGTGTGCTATATGCTGCGAAATTTCCATTTGCAGAATGTGCTTTGTTGGAGCGAGGTATGGCCATTTCCCTGCCATGCTTTCTCATATCAGCATTGAGAAGTTTACACCTACTCCGTCTTTAGTATTTCTGGTATGTAGCATTCTCCGTAACACACACACAATTGAATATAACCGAACCCCGGTCTTTAAAGGAAACGTAAGAAATGCAAAGTGTTTGAAGACATTACAGAAGGAGAGCAATAGGCTTTTTGGCTTGGCTGATGATTAGTACTTTTAAAAAATAACAGTATCTATCCTCAGAATAAATAAATGGATTACATTTCGTTTGCAGAATATTTTGTCGCTGGTGATGCTGAGTACCAGTGACATCTATTTGCTCATCACGTACTCAAGTATTGTTGAATCAGTTTTCATCATGCTGTCAGTCACAGGTATTCTGTGGTTACGGTGGAAACGACCTAACATGGTCAGACCAATTAAGGTACGTTGGAAAATGCGTTCATTTTGTACAGCAGCCACATTTATAGGTTTAGCTGACCTTTCGGGAAGGCTTACATCACATCTTCCCAATGTTGTGTATGTGTACGAGTGTATATTTTTCAGTACACAAGCTTCTTTATATTATTTTAATTTTTACAAAATGCACTAATTCTCTACAAATTCTTTTTGAGACTGTGATACTTTATGTGAATATATTTTTTTGCAAATATGTCCTGGCATTGGAACATTCTAAAAGTTTATGCAGTAAACTGCCCTCTGCAGGGAAATTGCTGTTGGTAACATCTAAATGCTTGACAATATACGTGATGGAGTTCTGTATTGTTGGAACATGTGATTAACTTTCTGTTGATTGGGAAAAGCTCCTATTAAGGTGTTTAAGATACCTTTGTTTTTCCTTACTACCGTTCAGTGGATTAATGAATCTACTGGTTACACACAATTTACTTTATTTTGTCGCAGGTGTCACTATGGGTACCTGCAGTTTTCTTGATAGTGTGCTTGTTTCTTGTGATCGTTCTGTGCTATGCACGGCCGTTCGAAGTTATTATGGGAGCGGTTATCACATTGACAGGCCTGCCTGCTTTCTGGGTTGGCGTCATGTGGCAGAATAAACCACTTTGGTTTCGGAATATGTTCTGTAAGTATTTTTACGCAAGGTTTCCTTCCTGCATGAAACAAAATTAATTTCCAACCGTATTTCCTTGTTGTTTTCTTGTCAGTAAATCTAAACAGAAAGAAAATAGGATTGAATGTTTATCTATACAAGATTTATTTTGCTCAGATGCAAAGAGTTGCTCAATGCCTTTCGTATATTGTCTCAAAGTTTAGTGAAGGTGCCTGTGGATGTTTTCGCATTTCACATCCAGACGTGTCGACCTGTGTTCACTCTTAATAAAATGTATGCCATGTTATTACAGTAGACATTTATTTAACTGTTTGAGGGTTTGTGGTTTTTGCTGTGAACCACACTTGAATTACTCCGTAGATCAAAACAACCTTCAGTGATACGTCTATTTGACCCCGACATTTATTTGTGTTCGTAAGGTTCCGCGGTAAATCTTCATACATCAGAATATGAAACAGTTTAATTTCTGAAATTAATTTATGCTTCAGAGTGTGAATAGTTTTGGAAAGATAAATGAAATAAGTGTAAAATGTTTGTGTTTTGAAATTTGTGCTTCAGTACTGTGCAATTTCAGGAATTTTGAGTTTGTACCAGCATTAATGTTTTATTTCCTCTACGTCTGTAATATTTGGCGTTACTTGTCACACTTCCTTTGTTTTACTTAAAGGATTAAATTAGTATCATAAAGTCAAGTCAATTGAACCCAATTATGTAGGAGAAGTAAATAGGGTGACTTCTTTTTGAACAAGTGATGCTGCGTGTAAATACAATTTTCTAGGCTGCTTTTCAGTCTTTTCTTTTTTCAGGTACCGTGACATGCAGTGTACAGAAACTGTTCTTATCTGCAAAAGAAGAATAACTTTACTTGTCAGTTGGGCAGAAACATTGTAGCCGTCAACTGTCTGCTGCTGGAATTAGATAAAATTTCAGCTGTAACTAAGAAAATTTCATATTCTGCCTTTACTCTGAATTGACTTGCCTCTGCTGCTTTTTAAGCAGAATATTACCATAAGATTTGATGACTAGTGAAAAGACCAGTTTTTTTATGCTAGCGTTTTACAGAGTTTGGTAACTGGTTTGACCTTGAAGATGAAGGCATTGTTTTCCTCTGACATGTTGGTAACCACCTGGTTTGGTGGAAAGTTTTGAAGGCATGATCTGATAAGTTAATTTATGTTGGTGATAGTTTATTACATTTGACCAAAAATTTACAGTGACTCATGTTGCTTGATTCAAAGGACCAATTACATTCGTGTTGATGTGATTGTGAGATTTGAGGTTAAAATCGTCATACTCACCGCTGTGAAAACCTCAAATCATTCGTGAATACAGTAGTCTGAAGTATCATTTTGTTGAAGAAAATGCAGTGTGGAAGTTTTTTTTTTTTTAATAAAACCATTTCTTATTTTGTGCAGAAACATTTGTAATGTTTGATAAATGATTTAAGATTGCAAAATGATACTGTATGTTTTTTTTTTTGGTTCCTGTTGTAAAATGTTCAGACATTGCTTAGAACTTTACTTGAATTATTTGCTAAATATTACAAAATGCTTACGATTTGTTAGTTTCATGCACTTTATGCTTTTCCAGTTTTCATTGTTTTTTAATCAGTTGCCATAAAAGTAGTTGTTTTGTCTTAGGACGGCAGGACAGAGGAATGACGGTTGCTCTCCGTTTACTGAGATCTGTTTGTGATTTTGATAGGGTAAAGTTTATCATTAAATTATTGCTATTGTTTTTTTTTTAGAATTTTTCACTTTTGTTTATGAAATGTTTTTTATTCTTGTTGCCACACTGCATTGTAAGTTAAGTTTTACTTTTTGTACTTGGTTATAAGTTTGTGCCATAATTATTTCTGCCGTTGGGAGTTTCTTGCCTTGTACATGACTACATTCATCATTTACATTGATGCTTGAATGACCATTTTGTGGATACTGAACATTATTTTGTGTGAAATATATTAATTATTTGTTGTATTTTATTCAAATGTATTACCTGGATCCCCTTTTTTCCAGTGTAAACCAAGAGGATTGAAAAAAGAGACAACCTATAGAGAGAACCATCTTCAGGTATGTTTTGAAATGTACTAGTACTGTCATGTCCATGTTTTTGTATCCAAAGTACAGACCAATTTTGATGAAACTCAGTATGGATCACTTGCACTAAACATTGTCATCCTTTTGAGAATTTGTTTTGGTTAATTTTGTAGGGCACTTTATTTGAAGACTAAAGTATTTTTATTATGAACAGGTCCACTGTCAATGAAATAAAAGTTTGGGCTAATAAGCACAGAACATTGACGTATATGTCTGTTGGTAACTCAATTGAAAACTGAAAATCGTTGCAATGACATGTAGATGTATAGGATGTAATTGAGCGGTATTGTAATTATTTGAATCCTTCGAGAGAAAATGACATGTATTATGAAGATTTCCGTCTTCCGGGTTGTTGCGCTGTGTAGTCTGGTCATCGCCCTGATGACGGAGGCAGTATGACCTCTGAAACGTTGGTAAACATCGACCAGACTACACAGCGGAACAACC